ATTACTCGTTAGCGGTTAATTCTGACTAAAAAAGCTAAGAAATATAAATTATCCCTGAGGTAACTAATTGGAAAAAAGTAAAAAATGAAGGAGCGAAAACGCGAATCTTTCGTTGCAACGAATAGAAAATAAATCAGCCTGTGCAGTGATTACGTTTCAAAGAAAGCGCCTGAATAATTTCTGTCGTATAAAATAAGAGATCTGAAATTCGTCGGTCCGACGGGTGTAGTTATTCTAATGCAAAGGACAATATTTCCACCGGCACGCGACGAGAGAAAGTACCAGAGGCGCAAGATGGTTGCATAACCGACCATAAATGATATTGTCGGATCAGCAACTCGGTGGTCTACGCATCATCATGTTCGCCAGTATACGACGAACGACCGCCACTATCGTCTCGATCGATCCTCGATCCTCGATATTCGCGTTGCATCGAATCTCATCCAGTAAAGTAACCGGACATGGAGAACAGGCGTTCGAACAAGTACATTAAGAGATCCGTTTCCTTCGTAATTCAGCCGCTTTACGATCCTTCGGTTACGATAATTCGCACTTAGCTAGATCTAACTTCTCGTTCCAGATTCGTTTTGCTTAAACCACGTAACGTGTTACTGGAAACGGTAACAGAAGTTAATAAAGTTTCTTCGTTGATCGCAATGAAACTCGGTTAAACGGTTTCCTTACCACGTCCGCGGAGGAACCGCGTGCTTTCGAAAGCGGATAGCCTCTGTTAGGCGAGCCTACGTGTTTAAGATGTGCTCTTAAACGGTGATAAAACGCTGGGTAATCGTGCATTTACTCCGGCATCCACTTCCGCTTTTCATTAATTACGCGTTCTAAGCCCCTGGATAATAAACGGACAACCGGCATGGTTGCTTTTCGAACAAACTCCTATGCGCTCGGTCTACTCCGCTTTCCTTTCTTTATCACTTTCTCCGCTTTTATAGAGTCCCCTGGCAGACGACGGCTTTCGCGTGCACACGCTTCGCCGATAAGCGTAATCTCGAACCGATGTCACAATTAGTAGCCTTGGAGGAGTTTGGAAACTTTTAAGTAATTTGTAACTGTTATACAATAAACGAAACGGTGTTATTCGAACAGATGCGTTCTAATCTCTTCGTTAAATACTTGTAGCCGTTTAGATTCGACTTCTTAATCTCAACACAGACACACGATTTGCGCGTGACAAGTTGCGTTCACCACACAGTTAATCCAAACTGTAAATCATCCTAACCGTTCTATAAAACGTGTCGATCGATTCGCTCGTGAGTCATGTCGCTGATGTAATCCTCGTCTTCCGTGATCACGAGATGCTCGCGAATATTTTTCTACCAAGATCCTTGGGATTGCGTCGAGATGAAACTCGAAGGAAGTCGATTTAAAAGATGGAAAACGATTTGTTGCAGGCCAGAAACGATACCATCCGCACCGGTGACTCCGTTGTCGACGGACTCCACCAGTCCTTTGTCGCCGACCTCGGCGTACTTCACCACATCCGAAGGGAAAGCAAGGTTCCTGGCGAGATACTCGCGTGACTCGACGGTCGAAAGTTTGACTCGTCAAGAAGATGAGCCGCCGGTCATTCCGACCGACAGCCTTGATCTCAGACAGAAAAAGGTACGATTGTTCTTCTGAACGATGAAAGGTAAAGGTTTCACGAATTCCTGCTTCGCGAGGCTCCATTAGGAAGCGGCTGGTCTAAGAATTAAAAAAGAAGCAGGAGTTTCTGAAAATGACGGTTCAACGAGTCGAGCCTCGTGCGAGCGGGACTGAAATCGATTTTCTTCGCAGGAGGAGCTGATGATGAGGCTGGACAAGAAACTGGTAGTCCTCAGGGCCGAACAAGAGGCGGTGAGGGAAGAGGGTGAGGTGAACGAAGCCCTAGGGGCGCGAGTCTCTACGCGGATATCTGCGGTCGCTCGACCCGCGGAAGCGTCAAAGTACCGCCTTCACGTGGAGGAAGTCGGCAAGATCACGAGTCTTCTTCTCGGGCTGAGCGGCAGGCTGGCTCGAGCGGAAAACGCCCTCTACGGAATGCCAGCTGATCACGCTGAAAGGGTAAGTAACGAAACTCGAGATTTGCTAAAAATTTATTGCGAGTCCTTGGGTATTCCTCGTACTCCGGTGACGCGCCTTCGAGCGTAATGATCTGTAGCCGTTGTACAGGAAGATAATTATTCACCTAGCTGACAGAAAATCTTCTTGATTTACCGAAGAAGTCTTGCGTAATGATTAAACAGTAATCGTCATAGAAACCTTGAAGGAAACTTAACATCTTACACTTGTACATCTTCAACTCGAAACAATTGAATAGAGAATAAAAAGCGAGTAGAAAATTATTGAAATTAATAAAAAGTTAATTTCCACTGTGCTTGATGTTTACAGAAAATCTTAGAAAGCAAGAGGGACAAGTTGATGGATCAGCTAGAGGAAGCGAAGATACTGAAAAGCAACATCGACAAACGTAGCGTGAACGTGTCCACGATTCTGTCGAAGTACCTGAACGAAGAAGAGTTCGCGGACTATCAGCACTTCATCAATATGAAGGCAAAGCTAATCGTGGACGGTCGTGAGATTCAGGACAAGGTGAAGCTCGGAGAAGAGCAACTGGCTGCTCTGAAAGAAGCGATCGACTAGTCGTAACAACGAACTGATCGCATAAGAAAAGCGTGTGTCCACGCTGATAGAATATCTGAACTGCACGCGGACAGACACGCGTGTCGTTCAAGTCCTTTTGATCGTGATTCGACGACAAGAAGGGGTCCGAATGATATTTGCGACTCGTTGACTTTCATATAATTACGATTTTGCAGGAATCGGTGAGTGGAACGTGATATATCATTAACGAATAAGCGTACTGGTAGCTTGAAATTGTATTAGAACACGCGTCTTTGTATATACATTCTTCGTGTCCTAGACGGACGAACTTTCGATGTGTCTTTATCGAGATTTCATATTGGTACACAACACGGCATCGTGCTTTCCCGCGGAAAATAGAATCACCTCGAGATCTTCAGGATCCTATCGTGATCACGAGACAGCCTCAAGTGCCTAGTCCTTGCTGAGCTCGAATCGACTGTACCGTGTTTCGCGCGATCCGCGAACGGATTGATCGCGAAACGCAACGAGTGGTACGCTAAAATATCATCGAGAGAGAGGGCGTTCGTCGAAGCTCTTGAACTGTTACTGTTCGTAGGTTGATAGATACGAACAGAAAGAATCAAAATTCTAATGTATTCGCCGGAATGAAATTTTCCAGCCTACAAATCGCGGAACACTCTTGCGTGGCGCGTGTTCTGTTCGCGGCGGAGCGTGGACGGTTCACCGCTGAAAGCAAACACGCGTACAGCATACGGATGTTTCCATTACCTGGTTAGCATAATGTTCGCACGCGGTGACGCATGCCGCGAGCGAAGATTCTTGACCTAGAATTACTTCTGGTGCCTTCTTATATACGATATGTGATATAAAGGGTAAAGAGTTACGTGGTCGTGAGTTATACATATATATCCGAAACGATACAGGCAACCAAGCGACGTTGTAACATGTATATAATATAAAAAAAGAAGAAGATAGTCTTTAAGCGATGATACGTTGTAGGAAACACTCATACATACACACACATACGCGCCCGCCAACAACCATGACGCGAGCGCGTGAGACACGCATCAAGAACCATCATTTACACGTACATGCTCACTTATACAACGATTACTATTTTTTACGTTTTTGTTCTAACCCCAGAGGCTCCAGTGAGCCTCTATGACGCTTGTGATCTTACTTACATCCGTACGAACCTACCAAGGACTCTCGAAAGCCGAACAAACCAGGGAAATCGGAGAAATTTCGAGCCTCCATGGTGGTTCTACGAAAAATTTTATGCCTCGTTCGTTGTCCAAACTGTTTTCTTCTTGTTTCTCTCTAATCACACATTTTCTCGCGAATACTTCCTGTCTTCCTCGTTGACGATCGTCTCGCGACGAGCTCGACGGTCGATCGCGACGATGAAACCCGAGGACGGAGAGGACGCTACGAAGAAGACGAAATTCGATGTGGAGGATCCTCCGGTTTTTTGAGCTCGGTAATGAGATATTTACTAGCAGACTCAAAGATACCGAGACGGAATCCGTTTTCTGGCTCGCTCGAGCGAACGGTTCGCAACGTGAACGCGAAAATTGAAATAATTCCAATTCTCCATCGAATGTCTTGCTGGAAAAACATCTTGAAGCGAAGTAAATTTGAAAAGCGATCTGTCAAGTTCGAACCGTTTCGCAAGGAAGGAGGGTAAAAAATGGAAATTGTAGCGTATTGTGAAAGACTGAGTACAGGGCATAAAATTTTGCAGCAACATTATAGTCAGTTTCTGTTCCTCGTTTGTTTCTCGATTTGTTCGCAAGATATCGTACCGATACGGGCGGTGATACTGTAATCTCATCGCCTGCCTGACCGGAAACCAGCTACATTTCGTAATGTGTTTGCAAGCAGCGTTACAGCGTCGCGAGTCATCGCGGTGGCTCGCGCCAGGAAAAGTGCAAAAATGTACATAAAAAAAAAAGAGAAAAGAAGAAATGCTTGATCCGAAATAGAAGTAGAAGAAAAAAAGAAGAAGATGAAGATGAAGAAGAAAAGAAGAAAAGAAGAAATCATGGTGCTCTGCATAATCTATTTTTTACGAGAAGAAACGTTCCATTAACGCGTAGTCTATATTTACTGTACGCTAAGGTCATTAAATATTTAATAGTGTCCCCCCACTGTGTACATACTCTTTAAAAGCATACAATTTTAGTGTTAATGTGATGCGAGAAGGACCCGTTTAAACAGTTTACAAGCTGCATATACACTCATACGCGCGTCACACAGGAACACATACACACACACATGTAAACGACGACGCTAGGTCATCGTGTTAGTCTGACAATATTATTGCATATTTCGAATGTATTGCGAAATCATTACAGTAACTACCTTTCCCAAACTCGCTTGCAATAAATAACACGTTGGAAATTACGAAGTGCCATTTATTTCATGGTAAGATCCTAAATTACATAAATTTTGTTAAACCGAGGAAACTGAGATTTCGTGATGAAAACTGAAAATTTTGCGCCAAATTTTAGGTCCAGGCACCGGCGGCACGTAACATTATCGACCAAGGATAATCAATCCACTTCCTCTATCGTTGGACCGTCCGCCCCGGCTTGTCCATAATTAGATGCACCACCTTCGTAGAATTTTGTCATAATTGGTTTACATATCTACAAAAAGCATAAAATCTTCAGTTTCGTTTGTTGATACAACAGTTAACTACCATCGAACGATAATATTGACCGTATCATCGGTCGATAAAGAAAGCTGTACCATCGTGTTACCATCGGTAAGAAAAGAAGAAACCTCTTAAAGGTAATAACAAAATATTCAACCAAATTATAATTTCATTTCATAGATGGAGAAAGATATTTTAAACAAATTTGAAAGTTACAGCCCTTTGAGAAAGGAAACACACCTTTTCGACGTCTTTTAGTTTTCCCTCAAACTCCTCCTTTGAAGCAGAAACGTTATTGTCCAACCACTTGATTATTTCGTTGCATTTATCGGCAATGCGTTTCCGGTCACCTTCCGCGATCTTATCCTTGATCTTTTCGTCCTCGACGGCATTCTTCATGTTGAAACAATACGATTCGAGGTTATTCTTCGCCGCGACCTTGTCCTTTTGTGATTGATCTTCGGTTTGGTATCTTTCCGCTTCGCGAATCATTCGGTCGATGTCCTCCTTGCTGAGTCGACCCTTGTCGTTCGTTATCGTTATCTTATTCTCCTTGTTTGTCGATTTCTCCACGGCGGATACGTTCAGGATGCCGTTCGCGTCGATGTCGAAGGTCACCTAAGGGTAGAAAATTAAAGGAAAGCAAGCACTTTCTCCTTTGTTCGTACGACTGTGCGCAGCCCAGACGGCATTTCGTCGGCCCGTTTCGCTTCCGCGTTTGCTTTCCGTTCCGATGCTTATCCGGAGAACCTGACAATTCCAATAGAGGCCCGTCTGACCCGTGTACACTGGCGGCAACAGGCAGAAAAGAAATCACGAAACGCGGGATCGCCTGGAAAGGATCTTTCCACCCCTGTCCACTCGCAGCCCTTACCCTCGCCCTTTCGACGGGTCTGTGTATAACCTTGCCAAGGATTTTCTTTCTACTCGCAACAACTGCCTTCTGCCCGACGGAATTGTTTTTTTATCTCTGGCTCGACTTCCAAGGAACGTTTATTAGTGAACGGTAGCTATCGGGACACGCGACTGATCTTTCTTTTCTTAATTTATTATATTAATGTAACGTGGTTCACTCTTTTTGGTCTTTTATGAGGATTAAGTAGATTAGGGAGCAGTTTGTCAAAACGTCTTACTTCGATTTGAGGCATGCCACGTGGTGCCGGCGGTATCCCGGATAGCTCAAATTTTCCCAGAAGATTGTTGTCCTTGGTCATTGCCCTCTCGCCCTCGTAAACCTGGATGAGAACGCTCGGCTGATTGTCCGAATAGGTAGTGAAAGTCTGTGTCTGTTTGGTCGGGATGGTGGAATTGCGTTTGATTAGGGCGGTCATCACACCGCCAGCGGTTTCTATCCCTAAGGAGAGAGGGGTAACATCCAGGAGCAGTAGGTCTTGAACCGTCTCGGACCTGTCGCCTTGCAAAATGGCCGCCTGCACTGCAGCTCCGTAAGCTACGGCCTCGTCCGCGTTTATCGATTTGTTTAAGTCTTTTCCGTTAAAGAAATCCTGTAGAAAATGAACGAGGTAAAAATGCAATTACATCTGCTCGAAGAACATGAATCATTCTGTGAAATTTTAAAGTATAATTTCATAAGAGCAGACAGAATTGCAGGGTAAGTAATTTCAAGGGAATTAATTAAAATTTATCGCGTCGATCGCGCCATTCGTCAGACTCAAATTCAATTACTATTATTGGTATCCCGACGATAAAAGTCGAAACCCTTGGTCCCGTTAAGAACCATAAATATATCCGGGCGGACAGGATACTTAATGGTACCGGTACAACGATGACTGGGCGTGGGGTCGAAAAACGCGAGTGTTGACTTTGTCATCGAGCTCATTAATTCTGTAACGGTGTCGCTGCAAGGGGAACCCCCCTCTGTGTTGTTCGTGACCGTACCCCCGTCCAGCTTTTCGAACCCCACTTAAAACGCTAGGGTGGCGGTCTGCTAAGAGACGTAATCGAATTTTAATGCGTTTTATCCTCGAACCTGCTCTATATCATCCCGAGCTTCGTTTTAACGAAGCGACACACGGTGCCACTTTTGTTAGCTCAGAGAGTCGGATAAAAAATTGAACAAATATCCGCGCGAATCGAAAGAGCGAGGAAGAGCCCTTCTCGTTTCCGGTCGAATAATGTCACCTGGAGGAGTCTTTGGATCCGTGGAATTCTGGTTGATCCACCGACGAGAACGATGTCGTGAATCTGCGATTTATCCATCTTCGCGTCGCGCAGAGATTCCTCGACAGGTTGTAATGTACCCCTGAAGAGATCTTGGTTGAGCTCCTCGAAACGGGCTCGCGTGATCGACGTGTAAAAGTCGATGCCGTCGAGCAACGAGTCGATCTCGATGTTGGCCTGGGTCGACGACGACAGGGTCCTTTTGGCGCGTTCGCAAGCCGTTTGCAGCCGACGGATCGCTCGCTTGTTCTTCGTCAGGTCCTTTTTGAACTTCCTCGAGAACTCTTGCGCGAAATGTGTCACCATACGGTTGTCGAAGTCCTCTCCACCCAGGTGTGTGTCGCCGGCTGTTGCTTTAACCTGAGACCGCAACCAGTGTGCGTAAGTTTCAACATTCTTTCGATTCAATGGAAAAGATCAAGCGAATCAGCGAAACGAAGGTGTAAAGAAAACGAAAAATCTTCCGTTTTCTTTGCGAAGGAAATTATCTGGCGAAGAATGCAAAGGCAGTCGCTGCCGCTGCATACATAAATGAAATATTCCGTACTGTGTAACTTTCCCGTTATCTCCTAACATTAAGGTTTTATTTAAAAACTTTCCGCGACTCGACTTGTTCGCGGAGAGCAACGTTTCTTGAAGAAAAGTACGTAATTCCATCTTGAAGAAGAAAAACGACCAGTGTATAGTTGGTGGAAACGATATAGGTTCAAGCTTCTCCTTTCACGAGTACGCTATATCGTTTCCACCAGCTATACCCGCGACGAACGAAGGTAGACAGGCGAACAGTCGACCGGTGATCTTACACGGACTCACCTCGAATATGCCATCGTTGATAGTCAGTATCGATACGTCGAAGGTACCGCCGCCGAGATCGAAGATCAGAACGTTCCTTTCACTGCGTCCCTTTTTGTCGAGGCCGTAAGCAATAGCGGCGGCAGTCGGCTCGTTAATGATCCTCAGGACATTCAAGCCGGAGATAGTGCCAGCGTCCTTGGTAGCCTGACGCTGAGAATCGTTGAAATACGCTGGTACCGTAATCACGGCGTTCGTGATGGCCTTTCCCAAATAAGCTTCCGCGGTTTCCTTCATTTTCGTCAAAACCATCGACGAGATCTCCTCGGGAAAGAAGGTTTTCGTTTCGCTCTAGAAGTAATACACCGCGGAGAATTGATCGAAAAGACTCTTATCCAAATCATTTATCCATCTTTTGGGTTAAATTTCATCCTGTCGAAGTTCAATCTATAGCTATCAGCTTTCAAAAAGGCAGAGGTATACATGTATCGAACGAAATTTCAGTTCAGCTTAAACGAAGAACATTCTACAAGTACACAGTATCGAACTTTCAAGCGTTTAGTGCACAAAGGGTTAACAAAATTACATTTACAAAACAAAGCAGTACTTTCTATCAGCAACAACTCTGATACTGTAAACGATGGAAGTCGAACGAAACAGTAGAGACTCGGGTGAAGTAGTTCTAATTAAATTTCCCGTCAAAACGTCAATGTTCTCACGCGAGTGCAAACATCGAGCCGCGTTAATCAGCTCGAACTCACCTTGTAGTGAACTTTAATTTTCGGCTTTCCCCCGTCGTTAATAACAGCGAACGGCCAGTGTTTCAAGTCAGCTTGGACCGATGAATCGTCAAAGCGTCTGCCAATCAATCTCTTAGCGTCTATCGAAACATTTCATTTTACGTTTTCTTTTCGCTATCGATACGGATTTCTGTACAATCGCGCGCAACCTAGGCTTCCCTCTAAATTTTTCCGAAAATTTATTCCTTTATTCTTACCTTTAGTTAAAGTAAGCCTACGGTTGCAGGCAAGCGTACGTAAAGCTGGCACGGCTCGCGTAATTGGCCGGAAACGCGAGCTTGATCGAACGTAGACAGGAAGAAAGATCGCGTCTACGCTCTTAACATCGTAAAACGAGAGCGAGCTTATCGTTGGCCAACGAAACGAATTCTAGCCTCGTCCACGAACGGACTACGGATTCCGAAATGAAACGGTAAGTCGATTTGGCAGCGAGCGAAACGAGAGCATCCTCGACTTTACAGCGGCTTCCGGTCGCGTTTCTTTTCGCAGACCGGCAACTGCACAGGAAGCCGGGCCAGAAGCCCGGAAACGACGGTGATTCTTGTAATCCTAGCTGCGCTGCCAACTCGCCGGCACGATTATCGAGAATTCAATTCGAGGAACGCTCGCTCGGTTTCTACTTCGCGCTCGTACACGTACATACATACACCTAACGATAGCGAATGGGCCGGGGTTATCTTCTCGATTCCCCTCGAATTACGACATTCGAAGTTGGAAATGTTCGAAGATCGTGAAAATATGCTTCGTTTACAGAAACTGAAGTCCATATTTTCACTTAATTCCGACACGTACCAAAAATTGTATTCGTCGGGTTCATGGCTACTTGATTCTTTGCTGCGTCGCCGATTAACCTCTCTGTATCGGTGAACGCCACGTAACTGGGTGTCGTACGGTTTCCTTGGTCGTTCGCGATGATCTCAACCTTTCCGCTCTTGAATACACCTACACAGGAGTAAGTTGTGCCCAAGTCGATGCCAACTGCCGGTGCCGCCATGGTGGACCTGAGAAAAATTTCGAAAAGCCGAGATTGAAAGCTGGAGACAACGAGTCTTGTGGTTCGACTGTTTCGACCGTCGCGTAGCTTCGCTTCGCGTCTCGTCTATTGTCTTCCTGGATTCAATCACTGACTATAGATCCAACAAGGCTGGACATGCCTTTGTTTTCGAAAGCTCTTGAATTTGTGCCTCGAGATCGAGCGCTGTCTGCTCTATCCTGGTATAAAATTCTGCAGATTTTTTCAATATTTTACTATCAAAGGCACGATTACCTTAAGTTGTAGGATTATATGTATAAAAGTACGCAGACGTTCTTGAATGTACAAGGCTTGATTCGGAGGAAGTTACTCTTTGCCGAGCAACGCGAATGGGTATCGCTGATGATATTTTCTACAATGTGTTACAGCGAGTTAATGTTAATGTACCCCCTGTTGTCTTTCTTCCTTTACGATGATGGCGTTCTTGTGCTTTCAAAATTGTCTGAAATATTGACGACCGACGCTGATGACGTTGACGTGGAAAAGAAATTGATTTATGGATTCTTGTTCCAGTTTCCCGACGCGAAAGACTGGAGTCGGAAGCTGTGACCTTTACGAGCCCCTCGGTGCCTTGTACTTCGTGACGATGCAAAATCGACGGCTTAAGCTTAAAAATTGTTAACTGTGCCAAATTTATATTAATGAATTCTTTTTCTTGTTTTATCTCTATTGGTTGAGAACGAAACTTGGAAGCCAAGCTTGCTTTTCCTTGAAAAACGAGTATTAAGGAGAAACTGTAGCGTGACATAACTCAAGAGAACGAGAACACGAGTCTCCGTTTCAGGAAAGACGTAATCTGGATGGTTTCCGAGAGACTTCTCGTATCGTTTGCCAACTCTCAGCGATCCTACAGCCCCGACGCGATTTCTCTCTAGTCGTTTCGATCATCGAGCAATTACAGTGGCGATAGGAAAGATCGATCGGAGCGATTCGTAAATTTCGCGCGACGCGACGCGTCGATTCCCATCCGCGACGATTCGTTCGTGACCAGAATTTCGAATCGTTTCGCTACTCCGTCGTTGGAATGGCGGGCACAAAGGGACGCAACGATACCGTCTATCCCATTTATGGCCCCATAATAAACTTTCCGTCGGTTTTCCCTGCGTGGATGATCGATAGCCGTGAACAGAAACGCCGGGCGAATGAAATTTCGCGCGTCCATCCGTGTTTCCTTTGTGAGACACGATTATTCTTTTTCAAACGTCGAATGATCTTTGTTGGAGATAACTGCACATCGATTGCACCGATGCAAATTAATTAAACTACCTGTCTTCTTATCGAAAACGGGACACGACCGGCAGTACGTACAGAGGAGTTCCGCCCTATCCTGATCCAACGTCGCCGAGGAGGAGCTACCAGTCGGAGTCCGATAAATTTAGCCCGAGGTGGTGCCAAGCAGGATGTGACGTGTTAATTTGTTTATCCTTTCTTCAACAACCAGAACACAGACATCGTTCAAAGCAATTCGCAAGCACCAAAACCTCCACCAATAATTGTAGAATCAATAGCAATTGGATCAGCCAATATTCACTAAAAACATCGCATTTCCAACAGACATATACGAAGAGAATAGAAGAAGGAGCAAAGAATTCGCACAGGAAACGCAAGAATCCTAGCACAGAAACGAGGTCAGTCTCGAGGAAGAAAGTAACCAGAAATCCCACGAAGAAAAGTACGTACGACCGGAAACTAGAGGGACGCAGAAGAAGTGGGTGGTAAACTTGATACAGGGAGGTGACGCGAATATCGAGATTGGATCGGGGAGGGTGATGTTGGCCGAGTCTCATAAATATATCGTCAGATCGGTAAACAAGGGCACGCGAAGTCTGTACAAACGATTCGTCCGTTTTCGTGTCGTATATACACGCGATGTATCGTAGAAGCGTTCGGTGGCCACGGTCGTGGTCGTGCTGCGACCGGGGATTTAAAGCCGGGAAAATTTATCGTTTCGCGAGGAGGCGGACAGAAGCGACGAAAGGGATGAAGCCGCGGTTGGAGGATGAACAGGAGGGAGAGTTACACGAATGGATGCAGGAAAATGTGAACGAGGAAAGGGAAGAGGAAGGCAGCGAACGGCGAAACGCTTTGGTAGACTACTGAAAATAAGTTCAGAACGTCTCTGAATCAGGTACGTTAACCTTAGAATAGAAACCATAGCCATTACTTCAACTTCATCTAGAGCATCCCTGTTTTTTTTTATTAAACTTCGTTGCATCCAAAAAACACATAGCTTTGTATTTAATTTTGATTGCGTCAACTTTTTGAGGGAGCTTGGCGCATGGTAGCCGTTGCAAAAGCGGTGAAACCGATTTCATTTTATCTGGACCCTGTCATCGGCGAATTACCGCGTAAACCGACCGGCCGAGCGGCGTTCGAGTGGATATTACGTTGGATCTGCAATAACTGTAAGCGTTTCGGGATTTATATCGTTTCATCCTCGTGTAACCACCATATTGGTCGCTGCTCCAGAGCTGCTAAGCCCCTTACCATTCGCCCGAACCGAACAATATCCAGCTAACTTATACTCGAAATGTTGTAGCTTGCCGTTTACCTCTCTCTGCCCTTCCCTGGACCAGACTGATCGACTCGCGCCACCAACCAGCCCAGCCCTGCCGATCCACTGAAAATATTCTAACCGGTTCCCACTTTTCTCTCATTCGATATCAGCCTCGTTATTTATGATATCTATTATCTGGCGAGAAATACGACAGCAGTCGTTCGCTTGTCCAGCCAGATTACCAGCCTAGCGAAGTCGTATCGCTTTCGATGCTCTCCAACGAGACTTTGTACGAACCGTCCTTTGACCAAATCGTGTTTTGTTTACCTTCTAGGAAAAATTAAGGGTAGTTATAAGGTAGGAATGAAAAGCTGAAAAATCAACAGAACACCTGTCAAAATGAAAAAGATACGAGCGACCCAATTTCCATTCGGTGACATTTAAATCGCCCACGAGAAGCAAGAAAGCGTTACGCAGCACCGAGAGACATTAATTTCTCTTTCGAAGCAGAGGAGATAGGGGCCGATAACCGAACAAAAGGGACCAGCTGTAACGTGGCGTGGCGTACATCGCGAGAAACGAGTCGAACAGGGTCGCCTTCCCCTTAAAGGCGGCCATTATTCTCTCGTTTCGTTCTCATAAGTCATAAATAATACGCGACGATCAAGTTTTCGCCGCACAAGCGGTATCGAGGCCGTTGGCTGGTCGACTGCAAATCCCTTCGCGAAAGACGAAACGGCTCGACGTTAGAGATCCCCGAGATCGTATCGAGTGTCTCCTCGTTGAAGATACACGCCCTGACAAATCTCATATGGTATTCATGGAAACTGCGTATTCATCAATGAGATGATCGTTGCTTCTTCGATAAAAATCGAACGTCGAGCGTGCCGTTACCGAACGTGTAACTTCACCCCTCGTCTTCCTTTCCAACCCTGGCTCTTGGTCCCCCTTTGTCACTCCGGAATACAGAGTTATGCATTTTTGTGCAACGGTGTATCAGAATAGTGCACTACCACCTTCTTTCTCTAATGGAACTCCATACTCTTCGATGCAGTTTCTCACTTTAACAGTCTTCTACACCAAAAGTGCAGAATTGCTTTTAAAAAAGGAAAATGCAATAGCATTTCCTTATGCACCGATGCACAAAAGTGCATGCAATAAATTTTATTTTTACGTTTATTAGTTTTGAAGATATTGCTTGCCCCGTTTGCATGAAGCAGCCTGTATTTGAGGTAGAAAGAAAGAACATTTCCGTAGGGTGGCATCGTACGTGGGCGTACGCAGATCGACGTGTGTGTTATTTGAGTTATTTCACACATGGCGACCGATCGATAGGCATCGCATTGCATTCGGAAAGTTCCTGTCTCTTCTTCATTCCCTCGTTCCTCCCTCGCGACTTCTCGCTTCGCTACCTTTGACGCACATGTCGCGCGGTAGACAGTTACACGTCTTTCCGCCCGCGTGCACCCGCTTATCCCACGAGTGGACGCGTCGCTGGACGAACAGAACGCGTCGCGTCGCGACGACGCGAATGGAATCGCGTCGCGTGGATTATTTGAACTGAACGAACCTCCACAAGCAACCGAAGAGCTCGTCGTTTCCAATTGCCTTCTCTTTATCCTCTCGTTCTTGTAACGTAATCTTGAGTAATGTCTCGGTGATTTTCGTGTACTCGAAGCGATGATTTGTTAACGTTTCGGGGAAACACAAGAGGTTTGAATAGCGAGACTCTATTCTACGTAGAGTCTCTTAGCTCTTTAGAGTTCTGAAGCCAGTAAGATTTGCAACACAATATATACTCCTGAGGATCTTTGCTTGTCTTCGCGGCTCCTCCAGCGATCATGTTGAAATCCGTCGTAAATAAGTCGCGAAACGTTTCCATTCTTGTTTCCATCTACTGTTTTAATCTCTTGTTACATCATTTTCTTTAGTTTTTGTAAAAGGATACACGTTTTATCAGACAGGAATGAAAGAAAGTACTTTTTAAATCGCGTGTTTATTAAAATTTGATTTGCGATAAGAGGTTAAAGTACAGGAGGCTGTCGATTACGCTACATATACCGCGGTACACTTCGATCTCTCTCGTTTCCACGGAATAACTCGGCCGGAAAATTAAAACTTTGTTTAATTTTTCTTTAATCCATTTATTCGTTGAACCCTAATGGACGAATCGAGTTTTCATTTGGTCCCGGCCAATCCCGCCACCGCGGAAAGCATTTTCAACGAGCGCCATCGAGGCCGGGAGAAAGAGAATAACGATCGCTCGATCCTCGAATCCTGATAATCGCGGGCTCGAATTAAACGCGAACGATATTCCGTATATTTGCAACGGGTGAACCGCGTTGTTCCTGCGGTCGCGTCGTTAGGTTCGCAAAATGAAAATACGATGGCTGTCGTTTACAGACTCGTCGGACGTCCATCTGGACGTGATTACCATCCTGGTATAATTAATCCATTCGCGAACAAAGCACGCGTTATTGTGTTGCGCCACGGTAAGTTGTGACAGTAAATTACTCGTCAGGTCTCGGGAAGAGCAAACATTTCTCTCTTGTGCGGCGGAGCCAACGTT